ACAGGAAAACACGCAGAATTATCTTGCTAGAAGTGAAACACTCCTTAGACTTGCCGCTTCGTTTTGTAGTGGTATGAAATAAAGAGTAGGCATAGAAAGAATTACTCCTGCTAAAAAAACCTAACCTTCCCCTATCATTTGTTAACAAGTCAAATAAAAATGGAACAATGGTTTTGATTAAATTGTTTACGGCACTTTTTTTAAATGTCTTATAATTGTTTAGCATTCCGTATTGACCTGTTAGCGCCAGAAACAAATGTGCAGCACACCACATATATGTGAGAGCTTTGTGGATGGAAACAGATTTGGCAGATAATGCTATGTTTTCATATATAATTGCACCAGCGTCGAAGAATGATGAATGAAGCATAACAGGTACTATAGGGCACAAAATAAACTATACAGCATCATTGTTAGGGAAACCTAAACAACACAAAAGTCCTTTTGAGATCACCATTGTCTGGCTCTCATACTAACCTTAATGTCCTTTTGAGGTCACCACTTCTCCAAAGCTTGCTGCCGGAGATGTCCCACCTTACAACTATGCCTACTCAAAAATGATGCTACCACATTGTCATTGAGCACACGATGGCTAACAATTATAAAGGTGTCTTATAACTATGCCTACACAAAATGGAACAATGATGCTACCACATTGTCAATGACATCCATCATCCATCGAGTCCAATGGGGATCCCGCCAGAGCCAAAGCATAGTGCAAACATGATCCAAGATGGTCTTCTAGAGCACTTGTGAACTCTTGATAGCACTTGTGAACTATTGATAGCGCTTGATTCTAGTGCCTTATTTGGTTTATTACTTTATTTGAACCATTTCACATTCTTGAATTTGAATGATGAATTTAGAAATATTGTTAAATTGCATGAACTTAAATTATCAAGTTTAAAATTATTATGTATGCAAATATCTACTTCAATTGTTTTTTTAGGGAGAGTATTATTAGGAGTTCAGTTAGAGATGGCCTGAGTTCCATTCTTCCAAATAAAAAAGGAGATTATGAACAAATGCAGATGCTACAAGCACAAGTATATGCAGCTTGAGGGGTATCTTCTTTCTTTATACACATTAATAATTGAATGAACTTGGATTTAGCCAGAGCCACAGTACAGCAGCACGGCTGAACAAAATTGTGGCCTTGTTCAATCCAATCAGGAGGGCAAAAAGAAACAATAAAACAAAATCCTCTATCCTATGTATGGCTTTTCAAGAAAGAAAACCAACTATATATACAGATATATGTACACAGACACTACTACAGAGGATGCATGTCTGTCTATGCAAGCTTCTGCTGGTATCTCCTCTCGACGCGCTGCTGCCTTCTTCGCGCGCGCAAATTCCAGGGAATGCCAGCGAAACAAACTAACTTAACTCTGCTGCTGGTGCCTCCGCCGCCAAGTCGCCGCTATTTTATTTACTTTGCAATGCAATCCTGCTGATGTACGGCGGCAAACAGCAGCTTATTGCGTTTTCATCAACGAATCTTCCTGCTCGAGAAAAAACCACTACTTGGTAGTTCACGGCAGAGTTCATTTTGGACAGGATCCGCTAGCACTCTACGGCACAAGGTGGCCCAGCAATCATTTTGGCCTTGTCCATGAAGAATGCCTTGATGTCCCTAAAATAAAATGGAATTAAAGACATCATCAGAAACCCTGAGAAAGGAAAGGAGCCGCATAAATGCATAATATAACGAGTAATGCAAAAAAGCTGCATGAAAAAGCATGACTTTTACCTGCATCTGGGAACAGAACAGGCCCCGTCACCGCAATGTTTTGCATGAGTGAGCAGAAGTTTCCACATGAAGATACACTTCCTGCAACCTCCTCGGTTGCGGATGTCACATCGTACACCATGGAAGAACAACTTCTTCATTGTAAAACAGAGTTTGAAAGCACAACTACGCGCAGCACAGAAGCATTTTGATGCATGCACCAAACCCTCAAGGTAGTCCTGCTTTGCAAATATCAACATCATTGGTATCAAACTTTTTTTTAAAGGGCAATAAATGAACACAACCACCACACAGAAATCCAAAACAAGGAATATCCTTCATGGTTCACACTGCTTATTAAACTGGATATGCTCAAAGTCAACAAAAGATACTATCAAGACAAACAGGTGAGCATAAGCAAGCACCTCCAACACAAATATGAAACAATGACACAAAAGTCAAGTAAAAAGTAATGGTGCAATGCACGTAAGGTCAAGAACTGATGCCACCAAAAATCATATTCCGAGAAACACACAAAAAAAACACTAATCGTATAAATTGTAACTGAATTAGGTGAGAGAACAAAACATGAGAGATTTAGAATCTCACGTGCAAATTTTAACATCCAGCCGACGCTGCGGTGGATTGTGATAATCCCGTTTGTCTAATCAAATTCTGCCTATTTCACTGTTTGTTTAATGAACTTTTTCCTACTTCTGTAACTATTTTTCCACAGCACTACAAAGTAAGCCCAATGCAGAAAAGTTACGCTAGCTGAGAATTACAAAGGATACCTGTAGAGTGTAATTTGGTAATACTTGTTGATTGTCCGTCTGTTTGAGTTTATGAATGTGCAATTTTTCACCGTCTTGTTTATAACATGAATCGCAAAAAGTGCAGCCGGCACAAACCAGGCACCGCCACGCAAAGCGTTGATCCATGGTCCGGTGACAAGCAGAACAAGCTGAATCATGTAGATGATAAAGAATCATCATTGTTGAGTGTTTTGCCCGTCGGAGTGTATCAAACTGGTATTGATTGTCTTGACAGTGCTTCAAGAAATCGATTCTGCTGTCAAAATACTTGCTTTCCATTGTTGGATCTCCATCATCAGTGTCTGGAAGAGGTTCTTCCTCTATCTGTAGAACAGGTAGTTACTCTGGTAAGTACAAATTTCATCATACATTTAACAAATAGCAGCGTGCATATTGTGCTTGCTTTATTCGAATGGTGAAATGAACTAAAAGTATAGCAGGGTTTATAGCAGTACTCTTTGAAATGCATGCTTTTGTTTTGTTGTAGCTGGATGCCTGTCCTTTAGTGGAGCACTTAGCTCCTCTGCATGGCATCTACAAGGAAGAACAACCGAAACATCGTCAATAATGGATGCTATATCGATGAAATGGGTGATTGTCGAGGAACAAAAACTGAGAAGTTTTAAAACAGCGGTCATGTAAGTACATTTTGCAATTTGATTGGCAGATGATCAATTCAAATTTCAAAAAGAACCTGGAAGCTGATAGCTACAAGGGCCTAGGCACTACTCCCTCCGTTCCAAAATAGATGACTCAATTTTATACTAACTTTAGTACAAAGTTGGGTCATCTATTTTGGAACGGAGGGAGTAGATGATAACATGTGTGTGCACCTATTTTTCATAAGAAAAAGGTATTCTCAGTACTGCTACCAAATTCAATGTGATCATAACTATGACAGAAGATTCATTCTACAAAAAGGAACATTATGGCAGCAGATTCTGTAGGTATAAAAAAAATAGTGATCTGAAGAAAAACTTACTGCTCACAAAGATGGAAGTTTTTGCAGCAGGTACAAACCCAACTTTTACCAGACACAATAGGTTGGTGGCAATGCTTGCAAAACCGCTGCAGACAAAGCATAATGAAGTCTTCTTTCATTGTTCGCATCTTTTCTCCAAGCTATCGACAATGAAAAATAAGATGTCAGTGCGAACATTATACTGAGAGGGGGATTAAAACAAGAGTAAAATGAACTAACTTTGTGCACTAGCAAGATATCCTCAAGGTTATCCTCAAGGTTTCCTTTCCTGTCATCACGTTTGGCAACACGCATGAGCCTTCCTACTTGTGGCTCTTTCTTCTGTGAGGTGTTGTCGTCTTTCTTCTCAAGGAGTCTCTCTGCTTCTCCAGGCCAGAAATCATTCTCACAGTATGGCAAGCATGCTGCAGATATACTGGCCTTGCGATCACTGGTAGGCTGAAGAAAGAAGTCGTACAATGTATTACGCTCCACAACTACACCATCCTTAACAGCCTTCTTGATCAAGTTCTGGTACCTAAGAAGATTCATGAGAAAGCCCAATTAAGTCCCATAAACAAATAATTAGGTTTAAATCATAAATATCGTGTTACATATACTGACCAGCTCCGAAGCTTGTCAGACTTGGGCATTTTTTGTGACGTGGGATGACAATACAAAACATAATCATCACGCTTTGTAGATGGGCAAGCCCATATGGAGCAGCTTACAAATCCTATTTTCTTGCAGTAATCTAAATAGCCAATCTACAAGAGAGAACCATATTAAAATAATTTCAGTTCAACATGTATTTAAGAAAGTTACGTAATCAGCTCAATATTTGCATTTCTCATACCAAAATCTCATGGTACACAAAGGTTCGGAGAGCTTCCCCACTTGCAGATTTGATTTCAGGCCTGAAGTACTTGACAGAATCGATATATGCAAGATAAACGTGCCTCCGATTTGGTAATGGGCTATCAGAACCATACTCTTGTACATACATGGCAAATAGACAAACATCCACACCTTCATTTTTTTGGAACAAGAGAATGGCCTGTATAAAACAAAAGGCACCAAAAGTTAGCCCTCATTATGTACTAAATATCTGAAATTACTATTAACATGGATACTGTGGAAAAAGATTGTCTAATAAATTATCATCTAATCACCTTTGATTTGTATGGAAATTCCCCGGGATATTTCCCATCTTTAAAAAAATCCCGAAAACGTGGTTGGACTTGAAGCACTCTTGCAGCTGAAGAAACCACTTTAACAGTAAGACCTTCAACTCCAGGTACCTAAACATTGGAGCACAAAAAAGAAAATTAAAATAAGTTTACTACATAGTTGACATCAGACTGTAAAACAATCCCTAAAGACAGGAAAATAATATCAAGATCAACACTATTGTTTTCACAATTCTTCTATTGTTAAGTTGGCCATGAGTTATAATATGACATGGATCATCACATCAAAATCAAATTATGTTTATTTGAATCCAATAAATTCAACCAATATTACCTACCTATATTACCCACCTATATATGATCCTGAAATGCAACTAATATTACCCACCTATATATAGATACTGAACTGAAATGTCGGCGGTAGAAGATTAGAAATTAACAATACTCGAGCTAATGTGTAAGTTCTAACATGGATCAGGAAGAGCAAGTAACTCCTGGGAAATAATAAAATAAGTCTTAAAACAGGGACGTGATAGGCCTACAGTTCGCTGTATGGTCAATAATTGCAGATAACTCATGGGACTTGTTTCGTATGTACTACAAGTCTACAGGATAATCACAAACATGGCACAAATACCTCTTCAATGTCTTTTCCTGAAGCTCTTGCCCTCTGCAGCCGTTCGTGCTCAAGTCGCACTGAAAGTCTCTGCTCAATATGATCACTCAGTTTAGTTCTTGGTAACTCTAATGCTCCTAGAACAGTAGGTGACTCCAGCAAAGTTATATCTCCAATATCCCTCTCCTTCAATAAACATTTGGCACATGTATACTCCACCTCCTCGTCTGCAACTTTAGGGTTAAAAAGGGCACATATCTGATGCTGCCAAGCTTTGCACTTATCACACTCAACCCACTGAAATGAGATAAGTTGAACAAAAGATGAGGAATTCGTATATATAATTTATAAGATAAGATTTAAGAATAACTAGAGAGATAAGAAAAGCACATTACCCATTCAGCCTCAGCATCTGTTTCCGCGTAATTTGATCTCTTGTGATATTTAAATTTTGCAGTACTAAGATGGTGACATTTGGCACATATTGAAGCCTTATCAATTCCGTTTTCCACATGAACATAATAGGATCCGGTCGAATTTATTATTTTGAAACAGAGAGCACAGAATCGTGGAGGAGGTTCAAAAAGAATCCTCTCCATCCCACATAAATTGCACGTATTTTGGTCAGGCAAGCCTGAAGGGTGTTCTTCTGTCATCATTTGGCTCTGAAAATAAAAAGCAACTGAGTCAACGAATTTGATAGCTTGAAATAACTAAATATTATGCACTATACAGGCGATCCAGTTACCATGATAAAACAAAAGCTAACACTTCTTGAGCCAGACTCTAGTCGAATAACGTAATAATTATGTTGCATGTTACTCGGTGGCATAACTAAGCATCAAGTGATATTACAGTAATAGCAAACCTATGAGAATGGGCTCTGCACTCACCGGACAAATATGTTGGTTCAAACTTTTCATGTGATCTCTAAGCTCCTCAGCAGTTAGGGCATAAAGTATTGAACCCCCTCTTTTCTTCGTTGCAGTTAAGCAGGCTACTAATGATGTTTGATCCACTGAGCTAAGCTTTGAGTTCTTCATCTCGATATCACCATTTTCATAACACAACCCTTCCTTCATCTCAATGTCACCATTTCCATAACATGACAATTCCTTCATCTCGATGTCACCATTTCCATGACACAACCCTTCTTCAGCTTGCATAGCAGTCTCCGGCAATCTAATAATCTCCATGTTATTGCTAGCATTGCTGTCCAGCAAGGAACAGCCAGATGGCGACTTTGTAGGTAATGCTGTGGTTTCAGAATGTACTGTTTCAGAAGAGACATCAGTTCCATTGGCAGCAGGCTGTAGTTCCTTTGGAAACTTTGTTTTATCAGCATGGACAGGCCTGGGAGAATTGATCCTCAATCGTTTTGCCGGATGATGCTTGCCAGACGATTCATCCGAAGTAGGGGAAGTTGGCTTTGATACAGTGCTATTGGATGTCTGTTCGGCTCCCTTCACTGCCTCTCTTATAGAGACACAATTACCAGAGTCAGCAGCAATATAGCTGCATTGGTCATAACTGAATTTTGTGTTTAAAGTTGAGCATTTCTCCCTGCAGAAACATGTTTCATCCATTTGCATGCATCCTTCAAGTCCGCATTCTCTCTTGATGTCGGTGCGAATTTTAGATTGGTCATGGATATACAAGTCGTGGCTTCCGGCTGTGATATTTGACTGATCTGATTCCTCTATTGGGTGGCTCCGCGTATACAACACTTTCCCGCATTCTCTGCATTGCAGAGACGATGATACTTGGCCAGCAGAATATCTGTTGTTATTTGTAGAATTTGCGGTTCGATCACACATCGCAGACACAGAACTGGAACTACCCGATGTCGATGGTTGTTGACTATCAACTTGATGAACATCGCCTGGCACAATTTGGTCATAATGTTTAGCTTAAGCTCAGTTTCATACATAAGTCATGGTATAAGTAAAACAACTAACCTGGGAAATGGTATTTTGTATGGCCAGTTGGCACTCCACCGCTGAAATCTCCAGCAATACAGGGACTGCATTTTGGTAGTGATGACACACATGGTGCGTCAGTGGCGTTTGCTAAGCTTTCAGGCCCCTGTTTAATCTTATCAGCCGATGAATGAGCAAAGCTGGCAGCAGCTTCATCATGGTGACTGGTTGGTGCAAATCCTACTAAAATCAATCCAAAGTTAAAATACTGAAGTTGTACTGTGAGGTCAAGAAAGAAAACTAATAATCTGAACTCACCCTGAGAATATAAGACATTATGTGATATGTCTCTAGCAGGCGGGGGAGGATTAACAGAACCAGGTACAGCTCTACCATTCTGTATACTTGAATCTGTTACTTTTATCCCAAGCTGTTCTGAGTGTGATGTCGGTAAAGATGCTGAAGAAGCCAAAGCATATCTACTGTTGCCAAATGATCCACGACTGAGAAGAGCATTCAGCCTAACTTCTAAAGTCTCAAAATCCATGTAGTGGATCTGAGAGAAAAGAACTAGGTGTTAGCAAATAACAAGTCATTCAGAATTGTAATAATATAATTTAATAAATGGTAGAATTCCATGAATATATCACATAATCTAACAGTAAACAGTACCATGAACAAAAAACAAAACAAAATACAAGAATAGCTAAAACTTTGACAATAAGTGTTCAGTACAACATAAAAGATAACAAATGAAGATGATGTAACAGAGAGCAGAAATAACTCCAAACAAAGCACAACGAGTGAGGCCAGCGACGATTATAGTGAAACAGAGGGAAGAGTTATATTTGCTACGCGAAGCAAAACAAACCTTTGATTCTGCATCCTTATAAAGCTGCTCATCAATGCTTTTTGAAACTGCCAGAAGATATCGTGGGTGCAGGTTATAGAATTGCTCCCTTCCTTTCAGGTAGGTTACACTGGATAAATAAAGAGATCAGGATGTAGTGTGGAGACAAGAAATATCGATGATAAATTAGTTAGAAAGATAGAACCACTTCATTTTCTTACCACTTCTAATATCATCTGAATTATCAACTATGCATGGGTTTCAAACAATAAAGCACAGACAGTAGTCATACATAGTATTGCAAACATATTTTGCACGGATGTATATGGCTGGAGTTCAATAGTGACAATTCACTTTGCCCAAAATTTAGAAGTTTCTTAAGACAATTTATTGTATTTTACATGTAGAAAAAGACCACGCCATTGCAATCGTCCTTGAGAAGAGCACAACAAATGCATACTACAAGAATAGGAACAACGGCAGATTTATCAACATGCGATAAACATGGAGTACTACATGCATTAAAATAGCTAGAACAAGGGACACAGAATGTAAGCATTGATATCATCATGAGCCAGCACTGCTTTCGATATCGGTGGTTTGAGTACTTACATTTTACGCTTGATAATGAGTCGGACTGGGGAAGTATCTGAATCCATATTATCCAGCTGAAGAATTTGCGCTGCAGTCTCCTTTGTATAACGTTTCTGGACAGGCAAGCCACTCGGCGCATACTGCTGCTGGATCCCTTGCAGGGCCTGCGCCATCATCCTCCTAAATCACTGGAAACCCACATGTTTACCAGTTAGCAACAGTCTGATCAGCAGCAGCAACCACGCCACATGATAATAGATGTCCAGGGCCAAATGGTACCGAACAAGAAGGGGCAAGCAACAAATGTGAAGCGGCATTTAGAAAAAACACGCTACAAGCAAAAGCTCCATTTTTGCAAGTATAAAAAACTAAACACGCCAACCAGCGAACTCCGCATGCATGACCGACAGCACGCACATAAACTCTAGCCTTGTACTGAACTGTGTTTTATAACCAAGTAAATCAACCATGAGCAACAGCAAGCACGTAAACTAAAGCCTTATAGTGAATTGTGTTTTATTATAACCAGTAAATCAGCCATGACTAACAGCAAGCACATAAACTCTAGTCCTGGTTTCATCACTTGAAAGAAGTAAGATTTGCCCTCCTGAAATCTACGACATGAAAGTAGTCAATGATTATAGGCAAAAGGGGCAAGGATTATGTGCATGATGGGACTGTAAGGGAGAAGACAGGCATAGCTAACCAATCTGATTTGTCATAACCAGAAACAAGGTAGTAGTTCGTTGGTTAAGAAGGAAAATGTAGGATCTTGAAGGATGCATCTATGCAGCAAGATCATCATTGTAAGGATTTTGAAGAGTACAGCTACATTAAATGGAAGAACCATCATCAGACCAACATTGTTATACAACGAATTGTTACATGCAGGTACATTAACAGTGAACACCAAGGTCGCCACTGCAAATTAATCTATGTCTGGCATTCAAATGGCATCTCAACACTTGTGGGCATTGCAGGCAGCAGCCACCAAGTCGAGAACAAGCACAGCATAGGTTCGGCTCAAGACAAAACAGTACTATTATATTTTCTAAATGAAAAAAAAAAAACAGACTATAACGATTCGGTCAGGGACGCCAGGCCACCGGGTCACCAGACCAGCGGG